AATGGCCCCTTTGAGTGGTCCCATTATTTGGTTTGCGCTTCTCCTCTTCAAAGTATAAAGTGTCGCTGCTGGACCACCAGCCACTTGATGATCCCTTGACTCTTCCTAACGAGAAATCCTTATAATTGGTCGATTCTCTCATCTTGTCAAGTGCACCAACACCGATGGGCGCATAGAAATAAAGTCAGTCCACGCATTGCAAAGGTTAGAACTCCCTTCTTGAGTCTGCGACATTTTTGGTGACAGAAAGGAGTTTACCTCCGTTTGGAAGGCTGTGTTTATATGGTGACAATGAGGGCTGTCCTACTCTAGGAGTGAGACTTGACCCCTTCGGTCTGAGGCGCCTTTAAGTCTTTGATCATCACTGTCTGCAGAGCGTTGCTGGTGTCGGATGGCACCAGCGTGTCCGCAACGATGATGTGGATAGGCAAATACTAGGCAGTAATAACCAGGCTAGTTCCTTAGAACAACAGATAGCACTAAATAAGTTGCGTTGTCTTTGGCACATACCACGTATGCCCGGTGACCGCTTACCGAGGATCGCCTTGTTTCGTTTGCCGGATGTAGGGTGGCGCAAGGTTTAACGTGGTCAAAAGTGGACTTGGAAGCTTGAAATAAACTCATTGACGACCAAACTGGGTACCTTCCAGACTGGAGTCTACATAACCCGCCTTGTTCTTAGCTCGAGACTTTACAAGACACGGCTCGTAGCCGACATCAGTGACGCATCTGCTGTCATCTCCTAGTCGGACTGCTTGTTTAAAGTGTTTTGAGCTGAGTTATCTACGGAGTAACGACTGATAATGACGCGGGGCAGTGAAAGCCGCAAAGAAGCTGTCTCGCTGATGCACGATAGCCAGGTGTTTATGACGGTATGTTATTAACACAAGGTGTAGGCGCCTTGACCCTGAATGTTTGCTTAGGGTGCTAAGGTTTTTCTGTACGTCACCTTTCTCCTCCTCTTTATTATTATTATTGTTTTCGTATGTCGTTATGGTTGTGTGGCAGCGAAACATCAATTCAAATGGTTGATGTACTGCCGTTGTGAATGATGGTGAGTATAATTGCGTACCAGTGTACTGCTGATGCCTTTTGCTTTTTGTTCATCCGATCTATTATTATCTCGGAAAATCCGTCAACTGAATTACATGTCGCAGTTTATTACGGACGTTCAATGCATTGATGCAGCTCACAACATTGTAGCCGACGCTATGTCTTGCAATGGTCTTCATGAGGTTTTGCGCCAAGAAATCAACCTAGGAGACATCTCTGCTCATTGCGAAAGGGATCCTAAGTTCCGGCAGTTGAACTCGAATCCTCTGTTTACTTCTATCCTCTACCTGTTCTTAACTCCAACTCCAGCCTTTACTGCGAGATATCCACTGTAAATGAGCATTCGATCCGCAGTGATATCGGCGAGTTGCGTTTGACTGGTAGCATGAAATGTCTCATCGAGCATCCGTGCCACCATCAAACTGATCAAAGATCGCTACATATAGCACATCATGCGCTCTGATATCCAGGGGTGGGCGAAGCACTGTATTACTTGCCAGCATAGCAAGGTACCTTGCTACACGATGACAGTCCATGGAACCTTTGCGCTTCGCGACGTTCAACTCAAACATGTCCATATCGACATCTTTGGACCTCTGCTTCTATCCAACGGTTTTATTCATTTGTAGATATGTCGATCGTCTCACGCGTTGGCCACACGCCGTGCCGCTGCGAGATGTCTTAACCGAGACCGTGGTACAAACTTTTTTTCGAAACTTAGGTTTCTGTGTTCGACACCCTACCACTATCACCACGGATAGAGGACCCCGGTTTAGTTCTGCCTTATTTCGCGATCTTAACCGCGTGCTTGGCTGTTCTCATCTACGCACGACATCATATCATTTGGGTGCTAACGGTTTAGTCAAGCGTTTTCATTGCCAAGTCAAAACGACTCAATCGATTATCTAGGGGTCGGAATGTCTACCGATCATTCTTCTCGGTATCCGCAACACTGTATCGGAAGATATCGGTTACTCAGAAGGAAACTGGGTTTTGCCCGCCTGAAAACACTGCATTCCACTGTTTTCGGGCGAGCAACACTCATTTTACTTCTGCATCATTAGCTACCTTCTTAGTGATCGAATTGACCAAGGTTCACTTCGGTCTACACTAAGATGGCGCGTCGCAATTCAATCACACGTGTACTTCAAAATGGCCCTCCAATCAGAAGATATCAGTCGTTGTTTGGCAAAATTAGTCTTTGGTACGACACTGAGGCTTCCTAGAGAATTAGTACTGGATTCAAGAGTCACGGCGAAATGGATCCTGCGTCATATGTTGCACGACTGAAGCAACACTATAGTGCCATTCACCCAACGCCACTACGATTCAGTTCTCGAAGCCAACACGCTCACCCCGACTTGCACACGTGCCCCTTCGTCTTCGTGCGCGTCGATGCCGTTCGCAAGCCTTTGACACCACTTTGCGAAATCATTGTCCGCTAAGATAACTATTTCGTATTGGACAGAAATGTTTCTGAGAACTCCGTCAGTATCGATGGCCTACAACCAGCTTGCCCCGAATTCCAGTCGCCGCGACAGACTGCCGACGCTTCTAACGCTAATGATCTCCGTCGCAGAGCACTTTCCCACCAAACCGATGCGTGACCCCAGTGCTCCCTCTTCTCCCAACCCCCCACACTTGTCACGAACTCATACACACCAAACCGTACGTTTCGGACGTACATTTGTCGTCCCTTTTAGACTAGCTACCGACGACAAATAGCACGACTCGAGCGTTCATCTTAACTGATGTTCCAGAGGGGGTTCTTCAATGCTTGTGAACTCCCACATTTCAGTTGTATTTCCCTACTTTACCTTCCACTACTTATTGTACAGCTTGTTTAACTCATCTAAACCGATACACGCTTTGAATTTCCATCCATATTCTTACCTCGGTTCGCTGCACGCGTTTTACTCGTGATTGTTTGGCGCTAGTGCTTAGTAACTGCGTTTCCTATCGAAGCATACGGCTAACTTTGTGCATTTCATAGTCATAAGGTTAACCGAAAATCGATTTAACTGTTTTCGTAACGTATTGTACTCTTTACTAACCTTTTGATGTAGTCTTTCCACCACAGGCTTGGTTCCAGCATTCTATCGACAGAATACCAATAACTGAAGACCTCAGTGACAACGTTACCTTGTGTGGGGTAACTATGGACGATCAGTCAAAATCTCCATAGGTTTTTGGCAGCTATTGCTTAATAGGACGTGACGTTGAATACTACTGAAACCGTGAAGAAATGCATCTTCTCTTTTTCCATAAATCTAAGATGCAATCGTGTCCAGTCCATAAAGGGTGAACTCTGCGTCATCTTATACTTCCCACTAATCAGAAATCTCAACGATGCCTTCTCGACATTTTCGCCTACTGTTCACAGTGGCCCCCTTCCTACTAAGAGCAAATCAGTTTACTCGTGACGAACCAGTTCTTTTCTTTTTCACCGCATGTAGAATGTGCATTCGAGCAGTTCAAATGGCCTTGGAAAATGCTATGGTCGTGACATTTGCTTATACCACACCATTGGTTGTCGAAACAGACGCATCCGAAATAGCCATAGCTGCCTCGCATAATCCGAGTCGTCGCTCAATCGTCTTTTACTAGTTTACCTTATCCCCCAGTGAGAGGCATCCTTCAGCTGTTGAAAGTGGCGTACGCTATTAAAGGAGCTGTCAGAAAGTGGCTGCACTCTCTCCTGGGGGCACATTTCAAACATCCCTGGTCATCTACTTTTAGCTTGCATGTACGGTGATGGTCAAACGAGCGAAATCCAGTGGTGTCGACTTGAACTATCTGGATGCCAGTATGACATAAGTTGCGGATCTGTTAAAGCTACTTAGGTCGCAGACGCACATGTGCCTCATATTTTAGCGGCACGAAACTACAAGACCTTAACTCATTGTGCCACCCAAGAGTAACTAGAATAGTTCATTTCGTACGCTCTGGGACCTTAACTTATTTTTTGAGAAGCTTCGTCGCAGTCAGACTCAGGCAGCCAACATATATCCAGGCAAGCTCTAGACGGCCGTTTTCTTCTATTGAGACTCGTCAGTAGCGCGCAACCTCCGGATTCGAACGCATGACCTCTTACGAGTCAGCAACTTGTGCCAATGATCCATGGGTGACGACGGCGGACCACCATGACTGATTTCTACCTGCTATATGGCGTGGCCCATCTTCCACTGTCCTGCAGGTTATGAACGTGCAGAGAAAAAGGCTGGTCCCTAGGGCTGCGACTACGTTTACAAGCCGCCACCATTCAAGATGGCATGTAAGCTGCTAAAACGACTGCTGCTTATCAAAGAGCAGTGGGGGTTTGTTATGCACGCTGCTAGCGAGTCACAATGGGACGAAACGGCCGTCCAACGCTTTCCTGGATGTGTGGTAGCTGTCTGATTGAGTTTAGCTGCGATGATTCTTCTCAAAAGTTGTGATACACACACTACTCCTCATGAAGGGCTCTTGCTTTGCTCGACGGCCGACTAATGAAACTTCCATATTGTCCTGGCTGACGATCCCTGTCCCGTCCTTATTCAAACAGGTGGACAGCTCTTCAACATATGAACATTTGATGGAAGAAGTCAACATTATCAGATGCAACCCTCATTACGCCTTTTTCGATTACCTGTTGGTTTAAACGAAAATGTCTCCATCGATCGCACAGCCCCTCGAAACGTGCTTCCCTTATTTCCATCTGAAACGCAGAAGGCACCGGATTACCCCCTTAACCACCGAAACCGATAATCCACCAAACCCATCACCAATACTCTCAGAGAGCACGTCCATACCATTTACAAAATACGGAGATTTAGCCTACGGATTTTGCCCCTTGTTAATCGCAGATTCTTGCAAATAACCTCCGTTTTCCGGCTGGGGTGAATGTCATATGTATTCACTTGCCGTCCTTTACATATTACATCCTAATCAACTTCTTTACCTTTCAGCTGATGCACTTTCATTGTTAGATCGGTAAAGCGTACACTTCCAACTCCGTGTTATTCCGTCTGTCCAACGCATTGCCGGTGGTCCACCGATTACAAGCCAAACTCATGAATCATGTAAGTGAATAATTCCTCCCGCATCCAGTAGTCACGCATTTCCAATAGACCATACACATACACACAAATCACTAGCTCCTAGATCCCCCTCACTTTCAGTCCGTTAACTTCCTTGAGCCCACCGATTCCAGCATTGAAGCTGAGCACAACCAGTTAGCATTCGATTCACTTCTAAGTGAATAGACACTGCAGTCATCTATCGAGGCTAAGCTTTCTTACCTACACTCTTGTTCTTTTCATCTGCAACGGCATACTATATATACTATCTAGAATGCTACGCCCCGCTTTCTTGCGGCATCCTTACCATACCAAAGTCTTCCTCTCTCACCAATGGCCAACTGTTACAATACTCATGCCATCACATTTCAGTGCCACTGAATAGATCAGAGCCACGGCAGCTGTTCATCACGATCTTGTAGGCAGTACATAATTTTGGAAACGTGAACTTATGCAGTTGTATCCGGTGAACCCATCGGATATTAACCCTGTGTTTACCTCTTGCTGTTTGGCAGCACCTCTGGGGATTCACTGGACCAGCTGGATGTCGCGTTCCCCGCAATAGCTATATTACATGGAACGCGTGTCTGGATAGACAATATGCTGACTTAAAACTCGTAAATAAATCTAACTATTTCTTATTATTGTTGTGCCTATTCCCCATTAGTAACATTCACTAGCTTGACATTATTTTTGGGAAACAATGTCTTCATAATGCACTCCAGACATTAGTGCATTTTTGGTCTATCTTCTGCCAGTCATACACCGACTCCGCGATTTGAGGTGCTTGTTTTTCCTGTTATTTTGTTCCGAATTTCCTTACGACTTCGGTGTAAAACAACCTAATTTACTGTACCTTTCTCGTCTCACTGCACTTAGTTAGCCCAAATACGTAGTCTTGGTGACATGTTCGCACTTACAACCCACAACTTTTTACTTCAGCACACTCACTATTCGACATAATTTGTCCATTCCGAAGGTTTCCGTTTTCCTATAGTGCACTTAATGTGCCGATCACCGTGGTCTCGCTTTTGTCAAATCACACTCCCCCGAAATGTCATCAAAGGAGTCAGGCACATTGAGCACTGATGAGGAGTTTCAAATCATTGATGCCTCACACTTCAGGTCGGATGAGCAAGAATTCGGTTTGGAGTTTCATCTTAATCTGCCCTGCCCAGTCTGTGCTTCGTTTCAGAGCAAATTCATTTGTGAAAAATGCATTAATTCTGGGTCATTCACTCACTCCCGCAGCCCGAACGGTCCTTAGTAGGTTGCCTTTTTGGTTATCATTCTTTGAGTTATTCCGAGCTTTGCAATCGGATGAGATTCATCAATGATAGGTAAATTTACCCGTTGTCCCTGTCTATGACACAACTAGTATCAAGGCTCTGAGCGAAACAGTCATCAATCGAATACCCAAGATGCCGGTATGTGCTTTAGAAATCAGCTGATCTCGACGATGAAGGGGCCTATAGAGGAATTGAAAGCATTGAGTCGTTCTTTGAGGTGTACTATAAACTACCATGTCGAGCAACACAATAAAAGTAACGTGAATATTCATTATCTTTCTTTTAGAACGTGAATTGTCTGCCCAGCTCAGGCTTCGCTTGAACTACTGCCGGACTAGTTTACAACAGTTATCCAGAAACCAGTTGTTCCTGACAAAACACTTCAGTTCTATAACACAGAAAAAACAGTTACTGTTAAGGAGTTTAGAAAAGAACAGTCGTCAAATAGAACGTTTGCGGACTTCATATTTCAGAGAGCTTCTACGCTCCCATTTCACCATCGAGTTGTCTGTAAGTATTCTCCACGAGAATAGCAATTTTCGTCCTTCTGAATGTAACTTCCGATACTCAGATAGGTTGGCCTTGTTTTACAGCTGCCTAGCGCAGGAATGCTTCCTCACTCAAAAGTGGTTGCTTGTTCTCTTATTTCTTTCCACTGGTCAGTACCTCATTAAGTGGTCCACGCACGCTGTGCATGTGAGGCAGAAATTGGCGGTAGTGTGACTCACGAGTCCCAAGAAAAATATCACATCTTTGGGAGAAGGCATCTTCTTAATGGCTTCGATATTCGTTGGATCCGGGCGTTTTCCGTCTTTGTCGCTTATGAAACCAAGGAAAGTAATTGAGTCCATGAAGAATGTGTATTTCTCTGGGCGCAGCCTGAATCCATACTCAAATACCAATTGCAGATTTTTGAAGAGGTCATCTGCATTTGCTTCGACAACAATGACGTCATCCAACTATGCGGCACCACCATCTACGTCTGCAAGCATCGTATCCATGCTTTGCAGGAATATTGCTGGCGCGGACTTGGCCCCGAACAGAAGTCGATAGTATTGATACAATCCCCGATGTGTATTGATCGTCAGTAAATCTCTTGAAGATTCATCAACTTCTATTTGCAGGTACGCATCCGATAGATGCAGCTTTGCAAAACGACAACCCTCATTTAGTTTCTAGAACAAATCACTTGGAATCGGCAGAGGGTACTGATGAGACTTTAGCGCTTCATTAAGGTCTGTTGAGAAGTCGGCACACATGCGAATTTGGCCATTCATCTTCTTGACTACCACAATTAGAGCCGCCCAAGATGAGTAGTTCAGTGCATGAATAACCCCGATTTTCTTCTCGCGGTCTAGTTCCTGATCAATAATTGGAACTGTCGCGTAAGGTACTGGCCGTCTTGCACGGAAGACCGGAACATCATCGGGTTTTAAGGACAATGAGGCTTTTATCTTCATGCACCTCCCGAGTCCCTCACGAAAAACGTCCGCCTAGTTCTCTCGGATATATTTGACAGCTTCTGGATTCATCATCATTACACGTTAGCTGGAGGTGGAAAACACCTCAGCTATTGTGCCGCAATACAAAAGACAAGAAAAGAAAAAGCAAACAGTGGCACGCCCGCTGGGTCCCCAGTAACGGATGGACATCGTTCCGGAGAGCTAACAGCTGGCTGCCGTAAAAGAAAGTCATATTATGCCTAACAAGTGGGGTCGTGATTGGAGGGGGATGGACAAAGGAACTCACAACACAAACGCCATTGGGGCCGGCCCCTAGCCATATCAGCAAGTGTGTCTAACCAAACGTGTTCACCGTCCTTAGGACCCCAGCCAGGCAGTCGGGATGCACCAACCGACGCCAACTTCGAAGTGAGGGTTTTCATTTCTCTCGACCAAGTCATCACTTGGCCTCCCCTCCTCCTCTTCCAACCGCACCCACAACGCGCAAACAATGCACGTCGCGGGAGTCGGTGTGCTGGCATGCGCAATACGTGGCCCAGCCATCGGAGCCTGGTGCGTGATATAATGGTGTTGAGCGCTTCACTCGCTCTTCCTGCACCAAATACGCGACGCCGAACACGCTCATTGCTCACGCGGTGTTCCCACCAGACATGAGCTAAGCTGCGAAGGCAGCGATGATCGAATGTGACGAGTCTCTTCATGTCTGTCGACCTGATGGGCCAGGTTTCACAGCCATATAGGAGAGTTGAACGGACGGCTGCGTTGTAAACTCTGCCCTTCAGGGAGAGAGTAATGTCGCGTTTGCGCCACAAGTGGCGGAGATTGGCAAAAGCATCTCGAGCTTTTGCTATACGGTTCATACCCTCATCTTCAATCCCACGGGTGCTAATATAGCTGCCCAGATACTTGAATTCCTGAACGACTTCTAGCAGATCACCACCAAGCGTTGGCGCAGGATTGGGTACTTGCCAATCTTGGAGAAGTACTTTGCATTTCGATGGAGCAAAGCATAGCCCAAAACGATTGACGCATTCAGCCGTTTGCCGAGCTTCGCAGTTGGGATGCAAACGTTTAATCACCACACGAGACGACTTCCTCAGTGCGCTGTTGGGTCAAACGTAATCCGCTAACTTGGTCGTCGATTTGTGATTGATTAGCAAGTGGCCTTTGAATTGACCTTCTCGATCTGTGCCCCGTGACCATACGCCTGCCCAACTTCTCTGGTAGACACGGGCGAGCTGTGGAATGGTTTTGCCCCGGCTGTTGCGGCTGTGTTGTTAATGCCTCGTTTAGCTGCTCACGACCACCTTTAAGTTGTTTTAATTTTCTCCGTCTTAGCGTTTCCTGAACTGAGTCAATCTCGACGTGCATGTTTATCGAGTGTTCCGTCGAGTACCATGCCTCGAGGAACTCTTCCTTTTCGTGCCACTTGTGCTAGGACCTCTGTGTTGTTCCAATCGAAGCGATGCCCTTTTTCGTCTGTATGTATTGAAACCAGTGAGAGAGCGTGTTGGTTCTTATAAGCTCTGTTATGCTCTTGTATTCTTGTAGACAGTTGTTTTCCTATCTGACCCACATAGTTCTTATCGCAATCTTGACACCGTAGCTTGTAAACAACATTTCGTCTTTTGTGTGCTTCAGGTCTAGTTTTGTGTTTTGTCAGGGTTCTCCTCAATGTGGCGGTTGGTTTGTAAGCCACTAAGACCGTACTGTTTGAATAATCTTGCTGTCATCTCGGAGATGTTCTTTACATAAGGTAGAACGATTCTCTTTGTTGTCGTTTGAGCAGGCTGAGAGGTCGTAGCTTTGTTGTTTAGACATCGCCGGACAAAGCTATGTGGATATCCATTTAGGTGAAATGATCTGAACAGGTATATCTCTTCTTTCAGCTTCGCTTCAATAGTGCTGCAATGTGTTTCAGTTCTACGAAAGAGAGTCCGCACGCAGCTTATTTTGTGACATTTCGGGTGATTGCTGTAGTAGTTTAGAATCTGGTCGGTGTGTGTTCCTTTCCTGTAAATCGGGGTTTGCAACTCACCGTCAATCGTCCTGGTGACTAACACATCAAAAAATAGGAGCTGGTATTCTATCTCCGATTCCATCGTAAAGTGAATGTCTTCAATGGTGTTATTGAGTAACCTGTAAGCAACCTCTACATGTCTACGTTTTAGTCTGAGGAATGTATCATCGACGTATCGGATCCACAACTTTGGGTTGTTTATGTGCAATACGTCCTCTTCAAGTTTCTGCAACGAGCCCTGACACGGGGGATCCCATCGGTGCTTCTTTCACCTGCTCATAGATCTGTCCAACAAAATTAAAGTAGGTCGCGAACCATAGATCAAGTAGCTTGCACAGCTTTTCAGTCGTCAGCTTTCCGATTTTTTTCTCATTTTGGTCCAGACGTTCGATGGTTGCTTGCTTTGCGGTCTGTACGTTGACAAACGTAAATATTACGGTCACGTCGAACGACGCCATTATCTCGTCATGATCTACTCTTATACCTTTGAGCTTCTCCATAAACTGTTGTGCACTATGTATAGAGTGCTGTGATCCAATTTTTAGATGCTTGAGACGTCTCCACAACTCTCTCGCTATGTTGTACGTAGGTGTGCTTGGGTGCGGTAAGACTGATCTTAGTGGTGCGCCGTCTTTATGTATTTTTGGAAGCCCATAGAATTGCGCTATATTCGGATCGTGGGTCATCATTCGGTCACGGTCTTCCTTTGTGATCTGGTTCCGTTTTTGGAGCAATTTCAGCGTTCTGTTTATTCTGTTTGTCAGTTGCGTTGTTGAATCATTTTCGATGCGGCGGTAGGTTATTGTGTCGCTCAGAAGCTGTTTTGCTTTTTCGACATAATCCGCTTTATTCAATATAACCGTCACGCGCCCCTTGTGCGCAGATAAAATGACAATGGATGCATCGGCTTTCAAGGCTTTTATTGCATCCATTTCCTGTTTAGGTAGTTACTGTCTTTGGGACCTTCGGATTGTTTAGCTGAACACTTGCACAGATCTGATTGATGGGAATAGCTAGGAGGCTAAAGCGTTCAATCCGGTTTAACCCAATAAGGTTCAAATTCTTATGACTAGTGATGAAAATGGTTTCCCAAGCGGTGAACTCGGCAAAACGGCACTCGCACTCAATCTCACCGATCAGATTCAACTTGGTACCTGATGCGCTCGTCACTTGTTGGCCGGTCATTTTAATGTTGCATACACCAACAGGTTTCCACAAGTTTTCCGAAATGACCGTGATGTTGGACGTCGCGTCAGTTTGCAAACGCACCAGTCGCCCGTTGATGCTGATAGGGACAAACTTTCTTTTCAGAAAGGTAAAACAGTGGGTCCCCTTCAGCCATTTCGTCAGAGCAGTGAGAAGACATAAGTTGCGATATGTTAACATTTCGATTGTTCTCTTCAGTCGCAAACACAATACAAGCGGGACTAATGAACAGTTATATACAGGGGGAAAAAGTTGGCACACCAATCAAAATGTAAAAATCAAGACCACGGTAACCTAATTGAATGTCTCAATAGTTTCTGTGCACACAACACAGGTTGATAAGCCCTAATTAGCAAAGCCTCGCTAATTGCCAAGATAATCGGATTGTTGTTGCGCAATAACACCTTGAACGCAGTATCCGGGTTCACCTGATGTCGGGTTGCCAAGAGATGCTTGGTGATAGATGATGCGGGACTCCTGTTCCTCCTCGGATTCACTCCGTCTTGTTGCGTCATCAGTTGCTCCAACCACCTCGGTACATGTTCAGCTACCCTCTGAGCTAACTGACGGTCAGTCCTGCCTATGTAAATGTCACCGCAACCGCAAGTGAACTGGTAAACGACGTGAGAGGCCGAACTGACTGATGAGTTGCTCTGACGGTCATGAAGAACAAGGCTTCGTGTTGTATGTATGAGTCGCAACTGAGCGGTCGCGTAGGTGCGCGTAAGGGCGGACCGGAGTTTATGTCCGATATCATTCGATACATGGTCTCCTTTGAACGGCAAGAACAAGTAAACATTCTTTTTCTCCGCGGTTAACACCGGTATTTTCTCCTTGGGAGGCCTGCTGTGGATCTGAATGAACTTCTCAGGATACCCATTTGACACCAAGGTTTTGAACAAAAAGTCTTCTTCAGCTTGCAACATTTCGGGGCTGCATATCCGTCTTGCTCTGTAGAAAAGCGTTTTCACTAGGCCACGTTTGTATGCGACCGGGGCAAAGCTGGAAAAGTGGAGGTACTGCCCGCTCCAAGTGGCCTTGCGATGAACCGTGCGCTGTAGTGTACCATCGGTCCGTCTCTTAATGAGTACGTCCAAAAATGGCAGACTATTTTGTTGCTCCAACTCATGGGACACCGATAGATTCGGATGAATTGAATTCAGAACTGTCAATAGCCGCGCAAAATGTTCGTTGCTGGTGAAGACTAGGATGTCGTCCACATACCGCTTGTACAACGTAGCTTCACCAATGCTGGCAGTAACTTGTCTTTCTATCAGGCCGAGAAAAATATCTGCTAATACTGGTCCAAGAGGGCTACCCATGGCGACGCCGTCGACCTGTTTATAAGCAGTGCCCTCAAACTCGAACCGTATATTTTCTGTGCATAGTAGAATCATATCCCTCAAATACTCCAACGGCAGGCCAACATACATGTTTTGACTCGCAATGAAATCACACAAATTGTCAACTGTCTCACGCAGAGGCACGTTTGTGAATAGGGAGTCGACGTCTATTGAGTACATGTGCTCCGCACCCAGCGACATGTGTTCCACTGTCTCTACTAATTCAAAGGAATCCTTTAGGCAATACGTGGCCAGGAGTTTGCGTACCGGCTCCAACATTTTCGCTAGCCACCGCGCAACGTTGTGGTATGGTGAGTTGTTCATACACATAATCGGGCGCAGTGGGTTCCCTGCCTTGTGTAATTTGGGAGCGCCCCTCATTCTGGGTGTCTGAGTGCCGGTCGGTTTCAACCGCCTGTATTGCGAGTCACTGATGTAACCATGTAGTAAAAGAATCTGCAGTTTCCTCGCCACTTGCTTCTCGACCAAGATGTTGTTTTCTGGTGTCTTGTCTAACTGGAACTTCCTTCTGTCCCCCAAAATAGATTCCATCTTTGCAATGTAGTCAGTTCGGTCCATTATAACAATGCCTGATCCCTTATCCGGTTGCAGAAACATTACGTGTCCCATTTGTTTTAACTCCTTTATCGCCATATAGTGTTCGGCTTTCAGACAGCATCTCTGGCTTATCGGCGTGTTCATGTATTGGTTCGCAATATCTACCAATTTTGCCCGGAACCAACCCGCATCTTCCATTGACCTTGGCGCATGGTCACTGAGCTGCTCATTCAGATACTCATACATACAACACGAAGCCTTGTTCTTCATGACCGTCAGAGCAACTCATCAGTCAGTTCGGCCTCTCACGTCGTTTACCAGTTCACTTGCGGTTGCGGTGACATTTACATAGGCAGGACTGACCGTCAGTTAGCTCAGAGGGTAGCTGAACATGTACCGAGGTGGTTGGAGCAACTGATGACGCAACAAGACGGAGTGAATCCGAGGAGGAACAGGAGTCCCGCATCATCTATCACCAAGCATCTCTTGGCAACCCGACATCAGGTGAACCCGGATACTGCGTTCAAGGTGTTATTGCGCAACAACAATCCGATTATCTTGGCAATTAGCGAGGCTTTGCTAATTAGGGCTTATCAACCTGTGTTGTGTGCACAGAAACTATTGAGACATTCAATTAGGTTACCGTGGTCTTGATTTTTACATTTTGATTGGTGTGCCAACTTTTTCCCCCTGTATATAACTGTTCATTAGTCCCGCTTGTATTGTGTTTGCGACTGAAGAGAACAATCGAAATGTTAACATATCGCAACTTATGTCTTCTCACTGCTCTGACGAAACTTTCTTTTGTTTTTAACATCATAGTAGAAGTTGGCGTTTGCCCTCCTCGCAAACTTTCGGTGATCTTGACAGATTAGAAGACAAAGGCCTCAGGCGAAAACTGCATCGAGCACCCAGCAATCAGTGTAAACAATTCGATTAATAGAGTTGAATCAATATTTAATAAGAGAAAGGCCTAGCGCTCATTGGGGGGGGGGCGTCAACCTAGACCATTCATATTGGCAGCGTTCAACGTGAAGCGTCATCATTACCCGGCTCTCATTGATTGGCCGATAAGTATCGGCTTGCGTCATGGTCAACTGTTCCGGGCTGCTAGCAAAGGGGCGCCTGCCCCCTTAACAACCCTGCGATCCGCAGCATGCGACACTTGTGATATTTTCTTCTTGCGCTTGTCCGGAGATGACACGGCTTCAAATGCCGGTCAAACCGGTGTGGGCATTGCTCTGAGTCCCCGATCTGAAGCTGTCCTGATCGCTTGGATCCTGATGAACAGCCGGATGTGCGCTGTCGGTCTGGCTGGTTCGTTCAAAGCTTCGAAGTCGCGCGAAGAGCAACGGTGCCTGTTTGTCATTGTGGCCTACGCCTCCACAAAATGTAGTGCTGACGGTGAAAGATGAATTATATCACCAACTGAATGTGCTCCTTAGTCTCTGAAAGAGCACGGATACTGTGATGGTTGCTGGTGATTTGGCCGACCAAATTAGAATACTATCCACTGATGCTTTTAATCAGGCGCGCAACATGGTGTAGGCCCCTCTAATGATAATGGTGAGCGGTTGCTACACTTGTGTGCAAATACTGTGTCTTTATCGCAAACACTAACTTCCGACACAGCACCCGCAGAAGAGTGACATGTCGCCAACCCGCGTCAAACCAGCCATGACCGCTAATCGATCACATCGCGATCAGTTATCGCTGGAGCGGATGTGTCCAAAACAGCTGCTCAATTTGGAGAACGAGCGTGGACTCTGATCACGCGCTCGTATATGCCGACCTTCGGGTGCGTTCCGGTGGACGTCCACAACGACGCTTTGAGCGCATAGATACTTGTCAACTGGCCTAGCCAGATGTTCTGAACGCGTGTCAAAATACGCTGGCATACGGATTGAGTATTCCCACACGGAGCACAGTTGAAGATCACTGGTCACATATCCGCCAGATGTTAACAGCAGCAGGTATGTTTTCATGTGGCATATCAAATCGCCAGTATCGACTTTGGGTCTCTATGCGGGCTCTGGAACTTTTACACGCTAGTCAACACATTCTGGATAGAAGCGAGATTCGAAAAACCTCAGGATGAAACTGCCTGCTAGCTCGAAGAGAGACTGCGAAGCCTGGTGGTCACATCATGCATCGGAAATGGTGACAACCGCGGCCCTTGATAACCATCGGAAGTTGTTTCCTCGGATACGCGAAACGGGCAGCAGGAGACCTGGTATTATTTATATTGTATGCGACGAGAGTTTACAGCCAATCCACAGCTTGTCAAAACGCTTGGAGCGTTGGGCCGAACAATTTGAGAAGCAATCAGGGTATCTCCATCTGATGAGTCCAAAGGAGGACGAAACCGGTCATGAGGTCTCAGGGTTGGGAGGAGCAACACCGGACCACCAATTTGAGAAGCAGTTTACCCAACCAGAATTGCTGGCTTCTCTATCGACGTATGGTCGCCCTTTCCCGCGGGCGTCCCCTTCGATCCGCCCTCAATCACAGAGGTCGAACGTGAGATCACACTGTTGAAGTTGAACAAAGCCGCGGGAGAAGATGGACTTCCCCAGCTCTCTTCAAATTCGCGAGACATGCTCTTGAACTTGAATTGCACAGCTTACTTGTGATTCTGTGGGAGCAAATAACTGTTCCAACAGACTGGAGCCACTCCATTGTGGTCCCAATTTTCAAAGGAGGCTCCCTTTCCGGAAATACACCAGACGATTTTCCGGATTTTGGGTTGCACTATGTAGCTTGTAAATTGCTGGGACGAATACATTAACGTTTGCGTTTCTCTCCACAATATCTTTTGATCCTGCATGAGTCTTGAGGTCGAACTGCACGCAATCGTTTGTCAATCGGGAACCGCTCGAGCAGCGAGGCCTCAGGTTATCACTCATGCGATGCCAACATCAGCCAAGCCAGCTGCAGCTGCTTTTATGACACCAGACAGATTCGGAAAATATTTGACTCCGAGATCAACAGGGAGACCTCAACTGAACTACGGTCTCGGAACGCTTTTCTCAAGTCTCAGAGAAGCAACTAACACCGATGGCGAGGAACTCAGTTGTGCGGTAGGACAGCCTGTTGTCCGATCTGCCTAAGGATCCGACCATTGTGGGCTACTTGCCGGGATGGAGTTCGAGGTTGAGGGAGGACCACTCTTTGGACATCTGTGAGGCTGTCATGTTTGCTTTAACAGTGTTCTTGTTCATTTGCCCAGATGAAGCTTTTGTCTTTTAGATGTGAAGTATTGTCTGTCCAGCACGCAAAATATCCGATACTGTCATGCAGTCCTAGCACCTGCATTTGGCTTTTTCATTTTCGTGTAATCATCTGATGCTTTGTCACACGGGTCATGGTATTTTCAGCCACCGTTTTCGGTATCCCGATATGCTGAACTAAGAAGTATGCTTGTTCGGCATTCACATGGGGCCGTCCCGTAGACAGCACAGAGCTGGATTTCGTTAATACATGCTTCACTCACGAAGTTGAGTGAACAACATAAGTGTTTACCATGAGGCTTTGTTATTATTAAGTGCAATCAGTTGGCTTGCTTGCTTGCCATTCTTCGAATAATTTATCAGCACTGAGAGGTCTTGTTGGACATCTGTTGATAATAATGTCTCCATTTACTTTCCGCACCCGATAGGTGAACGGTGACACTGATCGGTTTTCCGGAGCGGCTTTGTACATAGACAAGGAGAATGTGTTTGTCGGTAAGTGTTCATCAACGCTGATTCAATTGGTGTTCGGGTGTGTATCTGCTTGTTTCTGCTTGACTTTTTATGTTTCATTATCAACCACTCGACTTGGCCTGTGGGTTTTTCGTTCACGGTCGGTTATCGCTTCGTGTGTGCTGTTTGTGAAATGTGGTTCCCATCCGCATGCCTCCCGGTCTTATTCCTTCGGGTTTACACTGGATATGGGGTATGTGGTTGGAGCTGTGGGTGGTGCAGCGCAAGCCATCCATGGTCCCTCTGTAGGCGCAGGCGTCCTGTGGCTTGCCACAGTGACAGACAAATCCGAAACCGGATGCCGCCAACCATGGTTGGCGGCATCCATATATATATATATATATATATATATATATATATATATATATATATATATATATATATATCCAGTGTAAACGCGAAGGAATAAGACCGGAAGGCATGCGGATGGGTGCTACATTTCATCTACGGAGCTGGCTCACACTCCTTCAACAAGCAGAACAGGAGCATTCCGGCCTAATTGGGAAGTCATGCGTATTAGACGTACACAAGGCGGGGGCTAAGCTGTAGCCCGTTCCACACAGGATGCGTGGAACCACTCTTTGAACCTAGTACCCTCACGAGGACGGTTCACTCTGTCCCCCACAGCAACGACCAACTATCTCCTGGAGTCAGCATGGAGAAGATGGTGGGTAATAGACAGGTAGACATCTTGTAAATATTCACATCAGGCGCAGTCACACCGGGTGGCTCAGTCAGCATTTAACCCCTGAAATGCAAGAATGCTCAATTCGCGGGCAAACGTACCACATCCGCCGCCTTATTGGCCTGGATTACCAAATCGAATGGAAACAAACACATCGCACTTCTCTTCCACGTGCAATACTGCCTTCTGCACCTGAGCAACCGTCGTCTTAATCAGCCGACAGAATTCGCACCGATGGTTGGCTCACCAAACTACCTCCTCTTGGTATCAGGTGGGTCGTTCGGGTGTACCCCATTCCAGCAAAGTGTTCGGCGACATTGTTCCACCTCGGTGGGGCATTGTATTCCAGAGATTGTTTTGTTTTTTTGGGGAGTATTAAGCCCCTGTTTGGCAATCTACCAAACAAAGACGCATGAACTGAACATTCAGTCAGCGCCTCCCAGTGAGCGCGATTCCCTGAATTCGCCCCGCTGCCTTGCGGGTAGGTTATTCGGCGAAAGGCTCGAGGTGAAGTACCCTAAGTCAACTCCCTACTTCTGCTTGGGCAACCTAGTAGTATCACGCCCTTTCACAAATTCATGGACTGTTCTATAAGGTGCCCATTAGTTACCGTTTCTGCTTCTCACATTCTCGCGACTTCATCACACGCCAATTGTTTGTTTGTTAACAATCCTCACTTTCCGTTACCCGATTCATTTGTTCAACAATCTGGTTGCGATTCCGGTTGCGCCGCGGACCAAGGAGTTCAATCTGTGGCTCTCCTTCGTCCCCGATCCTTATTCCGTCTGACATGCTTCAACGTTTGGACAGCTAGCCGGTCCAGCGCGCACCCTGGAGTCCCTCGACGTTGATGTCTGCTGCCTTTCAGAAACTCGGTTTCAAGATCCCAGCGCTGTGCTTATATTGACATCCTCCACTGACCACGAAGCTAGATATCACCTGCGTCTTTCTGGAGATTCAGAAGCAGCCTCAGTGGGTTTGGCTGGTGTAGGTATAGCACTGAGTGGCAAGGCCGAGGCGGCACTACTGGACTGGTTCCCTATTAATAGCCGACTATGTGCAGTTTGGCTTCGGGGTTCATGTAGTATCAACAAGCACCGCGAAGAGAGACGCAACTTGTTTGTGATCTCCATGTACGCTCCAACTGACTGCAGTAGCAGTTCGGTCAAGGACGAATTCTACCGGGATCTACAACAGCTCTTGAATAATGCTAAAATGTCGGATGTCTTTATCCTTGCTGAGGATTTTAATGCACGGGTTGGCCGCCTGTTACCATACGAATGCCACCTTGGTGGTCACCACGCGCTCGATGAAACCGCTCTGATAACGGGGAGAGGCTTCTCACATTGTGCGAAGACAACCGTCTGTTTCTATCGAGCACTAACTTCAGGCGTACGAAGAAACGTTCCGCAACGTGGTGTCCCTTTTCACCAACACAACCGTGGTCTCAAATTGATTACATTGCAATTAGCTTCAGATGGCGCGGCAGCGTACTGGACTGCAGGTCCTTTTGGTCCACCTTCGTTGACTCAGATCATGCACTGGTCTGCGCGAAAATTTGTGGGTGTTTTGGGGTCCCGAAGCACCGCAAGATTGATGTGAACAGATTAACTGATTCCTCTGTCCAGGCGAGCTATCAGTCTTCACTGGTATATGCACTCAGTTGTAGTCCACTGCAAGATGTGGGGCAACACTGGCCTTGTATACGGAAAACGATGACCATTTCCGGACAGTCAAGCTACAGCCTAGCTCTACACCCCCTAAAGGCTTGGATCTCTGCTCGTTCTCTGGAGCTGTTCGAACGCCGCAAAGATATCCCCGCGGAATCAGATTGCAACGAGCGGCGCCGTTCTGCCAACCGGCTGCTCAAGCAAATCCTACGCAAGGATCGCAAGGCATGGTGGTATGAGTGTGCTTTAGAAATGGAGACCGCTGCCCTCTCTGACAACATTTGCAAGCTTTTTCAACTCATTCGGTCCACTGGCCTCAGTAAGCCTGGTGTCATTTGCGAGGTGGATGAGTGTCCGCTCACCAACCAACAGAGGTTTATGGACCGCTGGGCCGAGCATTTACACTCACAGTTCAACTGGCATCTACCGACCATCGGTGCATGCAGTACACCTTGTTGTCCATCCTGGCTCGTTCTACTGAATTCACCCAGCGAAGCGAAGTCTGCCTCGAGATTCGACGCTTGAAGCGGTTCAAGGCTGTCGGCTCAGACGGACTTCTTCCGGAGCTGTTCAATTACTATGGTGTGGGGATCATTAACCAGCTGACCGCGCTGTTCGCAGAAATCTGGCATGAAAAGAAAGCGCCTTCCTCTTGGGGCGAATCAGTTATTATCCCGACTTTCAAGGAAGGCGCTCGCATGCAAATATTATGGTGTTGCTCATCCCAAACCTGGCACCCCACGACCGCATCATCATCATCATTACACGTTAGCTGGAGGTGGAAAATACCTTAGCTATTGTGCCGCCATACAAAAGACAAGAAAAGAAAAAGCAAACAGTGGCACGCCCGCTGGGTCCCCAGTAACGGATGGACATCGTTCCGGAGAGCTAACAGCTGGCTGCCGTAAAAGAGAGTCATATTATGCCTAACAAGTGGGGTCGTGATTGGATGGGGATGCTAAACAGGAGGGGGATGGACAAAGGAACTCACAACACAAACGCCATTGGGGCCAGCTCCAAACCATATCAGCAAGTGTGTCCAACCAAACGTGTTCACTGCCTTAGGACCCCAGCCAGGCAGTCGGGATGCACCAACCGACGCCAACTTCGAAGTGAGGGTTTTCATTTCTCTCGACCAAGTCATCACTTGGCCTCCCCTCCTCCTCTTCCAACCGCACCCACAACGCGCAAACAATGCACGTCGCGGGAGTCGGTGTGCTGGCATGCGCAACACATGGCCCAGCCATCGGAGGCTGATGCGTGATATAATGGTGTTGAGCGCTTCACTCGCTCTTCCTGCACCAAATACGCGACGTCGAACACGCTCATTGCTCACGCGGTGTTCCCACCAGACATGAGCTAAGCTGCGAAGGCAGCGATGATCGAATGTGACGAGTCTCTTCATGTCTGTCGACCTGATGGGCCAGGTTTCACAGCCATATAGGAGAGTTGAACGGACGGCTGCGTTGTAAACTCTGCCCTTCAGGGAGAGAGTAATGTGGTGTCTGCGCCACAAGTGGCGGAGATTGGCAAAAGCATCTCGAGCTTTTGCTATACGGTTCATACCCTCATCTTCAATCCCACGGGTGCTAATATAGCTGCCCAGGTACTTGAATTCCTGAACGACTTCTAGCAGATCACCACCAAGCGTTGGCGCAGGATTGGGTACTTGCCAATCTTGGAGAAGTACTTTGCATTTCGATGGAGCAAAGCATAGCCCAAAACGATTGACAGCTAGTACTAATCGGTCCAGTGCTGTTTGGCATGTTTGGGAGCTGTCACAGATTAGGGCAATATCGTCCGCACACTCCAAGTCAAGAATTCGCTCGCCAGGAAATAGCTCCACACCTTCTAGGTCGTGTCCAGCAAACGCTGTTTCCATGACTTCATCAATAGCGAACTTGAAGAGGAAAGGTGACAGCGGGCATCCTTGTCTTACACCGCTGGTGATACTGAAGGGTGGCGACAGTTTGCCATAAACCCTCGCCCTGCCCGAACTATGGGCGTACAGCGCTTTGATAATGTTTACATATTTACTAGACACACCTTTCCTCAGCAGAGTCCCAAAGGGCACATCGATCGACTGAGTCAAAGGCACCGTTTATGTCAAGAAACACGACAACGGTGGGTCGCCATTAAACATGGCGGTGCTTCAAGACTTGACGCAATGTGAAGATGTGGTCGATGCAGCCCCAACCTCGACGAAATCCGGCTTGCTCTTCACGAATCTGGCTTTCACGAGTGCCAGTCAATCTGTGGAGAATGACAGAGGCAAGCAATTTAGAGGTAATCGAAATCAGACTGATCCCTCTATGATTGCCGCATTCTAAACGTGAGCCTCCCTTGAAAATTGGGACAATGACGGAACGGTTCCAGTTTGTCGGGACTGTCTCCTGTTCTTAAAGTTTTACTAGCAACTCGTGTAAATCATCTACTAGAGCAAGTCCTCCGAATTTGAAGAGGGCTGGGGGAAATCTATCTGCCCCTGCGGCCTTATGCAATTTCAGCAGCCTGATCTCACGTTCGACTTCTGCGCGTGAGGGCGGATCCAAGGAGACGGCCCAGGGAGAAGGGCGCTCAATGCCCGAAGAAGAAAGCGATAACTCAGGTTGGTTAAATTGCCTAGC